TATATATATTATTTACATATATTTATATAGAGGTTTCTCTCTTTATCGAGATATATATATATATATATATATATATATACACATGAGAGAGCAATTTCAGACCCTATATATATATATATATATATATACTGCTATATCTGACTTGGAAACCAGCTGCCTCCTGGGACCTTATAATTTGGTATTTTAAAAAGGTTTGATCTCCATATTTTTCTAGGATACATTTTCAAGGGTTTTGAAAAGGGCTTTAACCTGTCAAGGGCTAGTTTTGTAGAAAATGCCGCAGCAGTTCTTTCATTATAATAAGTTTGTAAACAGGTTGGTGTCGAAATGTAATAAGAAAGATTTGTAAAAGATTTAAAGTGAGATAACTGTTGAACATTTTTTGCAATGGAAAACGTCACATCGCATTACGTATTGTTACTATTTTAAGACAATGTTTTCGTAAAACACAACTTCTAAACATGAATTACCGCATATAAAAAAAAAACAGCAGTAAAAATTTGTTTAATAAAGTTGTCAACACGTTTTCATCTAGGTTAAGACCCACTAAACTGGCTCATATTAACGTAGAAGTACTGAACAGCTTTTGAGAAGTTGTCCAAACGGAGCACCCGGATGTTTCATTAATGTCTTGATGAGACTGGCCAGATTGTATACCCGGATGTTCTATTAATAGATTTTCTCCATTTATTAACAAACCCTATTGCCAGAAGTTGGGTTTTTAAAACCCCAAGATTACGGGAATTCGAGGATCACTAGTAAGAGAGGATTTAAATTAATTCCGTCTGGTGATATTGTGCCGAAAGGCTGAATTTAATTTGTTCTCCTAGCTCTCACTGCTGTGTTAGTGCAGGAAATCAGTGCCATGATGAAAATATCGAATGCCACTTTGTATTTATCTCCGATGAAATGGGATGAAACCGGGGAAGGTTTACTCTATTCAGTACCACGCCTAATCTGTCTCAAAAGCCATCTGCGTTCCCACAGACAGCATCAGAACCAGAACGGACCCAATGATGAAAATGGACTTGTTGGATTTCAACGTCATAACTAATAATGAAAATCTCGTTCCTTCCTTAATTTCATTTAAATTTTAAATTCCTTTCTAACCATCAATAAACTATCTCATATCCTTCTTCCCAGCATCTAAAAACATAGCTTGCCCATTGTAATATCATTAACCGTTTTGGCTGTCTATAATGAACGCATCTCAAATAAATTCCCATTGTGTTTAAAGTCCATTAAAAAAAATTGCACATAATGTTAAAGCAAAAAAGCTCCCAGCTGGTTTATTTAGCATTACGTAACAGGCTTTTAATCACGTGAAAATCTCACAGCTCGCCGATTATCTCCAACTATTGTCACTACTTACCCATCATTGTCACTATGAAATCACAGCTAAAAAAAAACTATTAATCAGAACGCATCTTTAAAAATCCGTTCAATTGACGTTTGACAGCTTTTGAACAGCGATGACGTCACGTTTTCTGCTGCTGCTGCTGATCGCCTGCCGGACATGGGCTGTGAAACCAGGGGTCAAGATGCGACTCACGCAGTCCGGTATAAACTATGGTATGTATTCAGCCGAGTAGTTTTAATTTTCTTATCGATTTTCGATCAGTACCGTAGGTAAAATATACTTCAACCGTCTAGATTCTAGATAATAACAGGGACCCTGACTGCCGGCATTGCAGACTGGTCCCAGAAACACTAGCGCATCTGTCGACCGAATGCCCGTTACTAGATGTTTCGAGAGAAACCAGGGCGGCGAGAGTGCCCTACGTGAGGAAAATGTTATGTGGCTCAGGTCAGCAGATGGAGCTGGTAGCCAATGTACTAACCGGAGTCATAAGAGAGCAATTTTAGACCTTCAACAGAATATGTGCGTTAGCTAGTAGGTAAAAAACTGTTTCAACAGGTTTTATAATAACAGGGACCCTAACTGCCACATTGCCGCCTAGTCTCAGAAAAACTAGCGCATCTGTTGACCGAATGTTCCTCCCTTGATGTATCGAGAGAGGCCAGGGCGCCGGGAGCACCCTACGTGAGGAAAATGTTATTCGCGTCAGCTCAGCCGATGGAGTTGATTACCAATGTACTAGCCGGTGTCATTAGAGAGTAAAACAACGCATGGGCTCAACGATACAGCAATCTTAATTTGGTCTCAAACAAACAAAGCCCAGATTTCGAAAATATTGTTTAAAATTTTCTATCTTGTGAACACAAACTGTCCATGTTTTAATTCTACTTCAAACCTAAAGCCATTTATTCATCCCTGTGCAGCCAATGGAGTTGCCCGGTTGGCCGTCCTTGACCTAATCCAAAATATGAAAATAGAAAACTACGAAGGAAAAAGCGGTAAAACAACATACTGGCTGTCGAAGTAAGTTCAACAATTAAATAATTGACATAACATTCGCATTGGTCGTAAGAGAGGTGATTTTAATATTTTTTTCCTAAGAGTGACTTGACTTGAAGGACAAACAATCTAAATATGCATCTTATATTTTGAGATTCTCATCAACATGATCTATCTTCTTTTTTTCTCTTTTTTTAAACAGCATTCATAGTGAAAGTGTCACACCGCCCAACAGTGAGATGACCCTCTCTCCTGGACTTAACGGCCTAACCTGGACGGTGACCAATTTTGGGATTAAACTGTACACGGACTGGAGGGTCAAGCATAAAGTGTGGTTGTGAGTTGGCTCTGTAGCCTCGTTACCAAAGCTTTGTCGCCTTATATATTCCCCGTGGTACTATGGACGTCTTCTCTCCATGTGTTCCGTGCGTCTTCCCTTCTATAAAACCTCATGTTTCAACGACACGTACAGCATAATAATAACTCTTACTTTTCTCGCCAAGCATGGTGGCACTGCCTCTGAGAAATTGATTCTCTCATGATTTCATGATTGTGGATGCGAATGCATAATTTTCGCCCCCCCCCCTTTTTTAGCTGCTATCTTTCTGTTGATGTAAGCGTAGACGTCGATGCTGACCATCTTCTTGTTGATGTAAGCGTAGACTTCGGTGCTGACCATCATCTTGTTGATGTAAGCGTAGACTTCGATGCTGACCATCTTCTTGTTGATGTAAGCGTAGACGTCGATGCTGACCATCTTCTTTATTGATGTAAGCGTAGACTTCGATGCTGACCATCATTCTGTTGATGTAAGCATAGACTTCGATGCTTACCATCTCCTTTATTGATGTAAGCATAGTCTTCGATGCTTACCATCTTCTTTATTAATGTATGCGTAGACTTCGATGCTGACCATCATTCTGTTGATGTAAGCAAATACATCGATGCTGACAATCTTCTTTATTGATGTAAGCATGGACTTCGATGCTGACCATCTTCTTGTTGATGTAAGCATGGACTTCGATGCTGACCATCATTCTGTTGATGTAAGCAAATACATCGATGCTGACCATCTTTTTTTTTTTTTTTTTTTTTTTTTAAAAAACATCCTTTTTTTCTTAAAAAAACAGATTCAAGACGGGAAATCCTCAAATTTCTAAGAATTTAAAAAAAATAAATAATTACATTTTCTAACAGTGTACCCATAAGCGCATCCGGGGGCCTCTCCGCGGATTTCAGTGGCGTGAGACTTTCCCTAACCATTGGCGTTGGTAAGTTTTCGTTTGGCTTAGTTGTGTTAACGTTATTTCTAACGCACCTGCCAGCGTTTCTCTGTTCAAACGTCTTAACTTACTGTCTGTGCGTGACCGGTTTCATTAACTTCCCCCCACAGACCTTGATGGTGGGTCCCGTCCAGTGCTGAGGTCAAGAGGGTGCAGTGCTGACATAGGAGGCTTAAATCTGAGATTTCGCGGTGGTCTGGTCTCGTGGATTTTAAATTTGTTTAAAGGGCTCTTTGAAAATAAAGTTAAAAACATGATCCGCGACAGGGTATGTAAATTTTACAATCCAGAAGGTATGTAATGCTCTTGTTAGACGGCACATTTATTTTCAAGTGAACAATCTGTTAATAGGTGTGCATTGTCATTATCCGGTTACAATCATTGTGAAGTTAAAAGGTTTTGTTTTTTGTTAATTCGTCTCAAATTTACTTTGAATTCCTTTACCTTAATTAATTTTGACCTCTTTAACTGTACCTTTGCCTGCTATTGCATAAGTTCTCATTCATTCCTTCACTGTAACCGTGCCTACTGTTGCACATATTCTCATCCATTCCTTCACCCCCTCGAGCATGGACTTACATTCCATAGAAAGCTTGTCATGTTTTCAGATCTGCTCTCTTGTGGACAAAAGCATTAACGGTGTTGTCGCAGACAAGGTCAAACAAATGAGAGGTGAGAAGACAGCTGAAGTTACACAATAAGTAGTGGGTAAGGGGTTTATACTGTAGGTAAAGGGCATCTACTGTATTTAAGGAGTATCTACTCTAGGTAAGGGGTATCTACTGTAGGTTAAGAGTATCTACTGTAGATATAGGGTATCTAACGTAGGTTAGGGGTATCTACTGTAGGCAAAGGGTATCAAATGTAGGTATAGGGTATCTACTGATGGTTAGGGGTATCTACTGTAAGTAAGAGGTAAAGGGCATCTACTGTAGGTAAGGGATATCTACTATCTACTATAGGTAAAGGGTATCTACTGTAGGTAAGGGATATCTACTATCTACTGTAGGTAAAGGGTATCTACTGTAGGTAAAGGGTATCTACTATCTACTGTAGGTAAAGGGTATCTACTGTAGGTAAAGGGTATCTACTATCTACTATAGGAAAAGGGTATCTACTGTAGGTAAAGGGTATCTACTATCTACTGTAGGTAAAGGGTATGTACTGTAGGTAAAGGGTATCTACTATCTACTGTAGGAAAAGGGTATCTACTGTAGGTAAAGTGTATCTACTATCTACTGTAGGTAAAGGGTATCTACTATAGGTTATCTACTATCTACTGTAAGTAAAGGGTATCTACTATAGGTAAAGGTATCTACTATCTACTGTAGGTAAAGGGTAAATACACCATGCTCATCGATCACCATTGGGTTTTTTTTTGGTTGTAATATTTGAAATAACACGCAGCCTAATCGGGTCGTGTCCTCTAACTTCTCCATTACATTTCAACCGCGACCGGATGGAATCGACAAAGAATTTATAACTAAAAATACGCTGAAGACATTGACTATTTTCAAACACACCTGTTGATTTTTTATCCCTTCTCTATTTAACATTTTTGATCTCAGTAAGTGTTCGCATAATGTCTGGTATCAATTCATCTCACCCCCTCCGCCCCCCCCCTCTCCCTTGGATCAATTCCTTTACAACCTCTCACACAACACTTTGTAAACATATAAATGTAATTTCTTCGGATGGGGCTGCAAACTCATCGTTCTCCCCAAGGGAGCACAATTTCGAGCTGCGCCATTTCATCACTACTAAAACATAAATCATGTGCTCATGAATTGGGGGAAGGGTGAGGGGGGGGGGTGGCCCTCAGGGTGCAAATTTACCATCGCATGGTAGCGTGCGTAGCATGTGTAGCATTTTAGTTGAGTAGATCATAAAGTATTTTAAACGATTTTTTTTTTTTTGCATGGAAAGATGATTCTAGTTTTAATGATATGACTTATAATACAAATAAGTCTCTCGGCCATGGCTGAAAGACAGATATCCTCCCCCCCCCAACTCTCGTTCGGCGGCAACTAACAGACCTCCACCTTTGCACACAAAAAAAAATAATGCGGATGCCCATGATCCCAATCATCTTATCCATGCGGATATTTATTATTCTTATGTCTGCAGTGTCCGTGGATATCGCCGAACGCTTTGTCTTAGACTACGGTTTTATAGCCCCAGTGATCATTACGTCCGGCTACTTGGAAACGCAGCACAGTGTGAGTAGTTGGCCAACACGACCACGAAATGCAGCTTAGTGTTAATAATTTACAAATGTACGCCACTGTGTAAATGAAAAACAGTATCATGTAAGACAGAGTAGTGTAAGTGCTTTTAAAATATCAACATGAAAAAATTAATATCGCTGTGTCGAATATCGTGTCATACAGAGCAAATGGCTAAGTGAAGAGAATGCCTAAAAGCTAGGTTCAGAGAGTATCAAACAGCCAGATAAAGATATGGCCAACACGTTAGGTTCGGAGAGTACCAAACAGCTAGGTGTAGAGATGGCCAAAAAGTTAGGTTCAGAGAGTATCAAACAGCCAGGTAAAGATATGGCCAACACGTTAGGTTCGGAGAGTACCAAACAGCTAGGTGTAGAGATGGTCAAAAAGTTAGGTTCAGAGAGTACCCAACAGCCAGGTATAGAGATGGCCAAAAAGTTAGGTTCAGGGAGTACCAAACAGCTGGATGTAAAAATGGCCAAAATGTTATTTGAAGAGATAACCGAAAAGTTAAATGCAGAGCTCACACAACAACAATGGAAGAAGGTTGTTAAAAGAACGTAAATAGCGTTTGCAATAGCCAGAAGTTCAGTTCTCCGTAACTTCTCCATACGCAGTAACCACATTTTTTTTTACGTTATTACCTGTTCCCGTTAGATGCTTAATTTTTTTTTCAGTAAATAATTGTAATACCATTTAGGGTGAGGTGTACTGGAAGAACGATAGACGTCCGACACCTTACACGCCAGCGGACATACCCGCCCAGGGAGACGCCTCCAAAATGCTGTACATATGGTTGACCGACTTTACGGCCTTGACCTTCGGGTACGCCGCCCACACGCACGGCTACCTGCAGTACACACTATCGCCAGACAAGGTACTTATCATGTCATGTCATGTCACCCCCACCAAATGCACGGCTACCAGCAGTACACACTATCACCAGACAAGGTACTAATCATGTCATGTCATGTCACCCCCACCAAATGCACGGCTACCTGCAGTACACACTATCGTCAGACAAGGTACTTATCATGTCATGTCATGTCACCCCCACCAAATGCACGGCTACCTGCAGTACACACTATCGTCAGACAAGGTACTAATCATGTCATGTCATGTCACCCCCACCAAATACATGCTGACCCGCCCAATAATCATTAGAATTAAAACTAAATCTGTGTGTTCATTGGGGGTCACATTTCTATTTTCTTTAAGGTTGCTTGTTGTCAATGAGAAATGCCGGAGTTTAAGTCAATTTACAATAAAATTGTTGCGGGATAACCCCCCCCCCTTTTTTTTTCCCCCCCCCCCCCCCGCGCCAAAAAAAAACCGCGTATCGTAAGCGATTTTCTGCACATCCACAATTACATTAAAATCAATATTTTTTTTTTAAATTCGTTTAAAGAATTATCTTTTTAAAAAACAACACTTGTATTGTGAACAAAATACAAAACGGACACCCCGTGCCGTGGGTCCTAGTTACAGGGAAGAAAGCTTTGAGTCCAACGAAAAAGAGACGGTGAAAAGAAGGGGGAAAAATGTCTGGATTCGAATCACGCTCGTGAAGCAGGATTTGAATTTTTAAAAAATTAAAAATATTCAAGGTAGACAAGAGCATAACTCACAGTCGGCCATTTTAAATGTTGCTACCCTTAAATTGAATGAAAACTTGACAAAGGTTAAACTTATTTGATGAGAAAATGCATCTTTCAAGTGAAATTGATTTTATTTGTGATTCAAGATTTAAATGAACTCACCCAAATATAAAACAGGAAGCTGTTGGCAAACTTAATGGAATCCAAAGTGAAATTACGGTATGATGAGAAATGAATGATGGATTGCAAAGTGAAATTACGATATGATGAGAAATGTATGATGGAATCCAAAGTGAAATTACGGAATGACGTGGAATGAATGATGGAATCCAAAGTGAAATTACGGAATGACGTGGAATGAATGATGGAATCCAAAGTGACAATGCGGAATGAAGAGAAATGAATGATTAGAATTGTATACAAATTATTAGGGACGGATTGAATCCTGAGAAATTTTTTAGTCACTACTGTCTAAAAATAGTTATTACTTTTTTTATTTCATTTTCAGCTGAAAGGTAACAACAGTAATTACCTTGACACCTCATGTCCGACGTCCATCTGCGCTGGATCAATCATCCCAGAGGTGTGATATTTTGTATGTGTGTCCGTTCACGTATTCTCAATCAATAAGACTTTGTGACCAAAAAAAAATCAACCTCGACTGATGCAGCTCCCCCCCCCCCGGCCCCATTACTACTCTCACCACCATTTTGATGAGTGAAACCCGGATATTTGCAAGTAATCACCCCCTCCCCCCACCCCACCCCCGTGCGGCACTTAATGTCAATTGTCTACGAATGACGTCCATCTGCGCGGGATCAATCATCCCAGAGGTGTGATATTTTTTATGTGTGTCCGTTCACGTATTCCCAATCAAAAAGACTTTGTGACCAAAAAAAAATCAACCTCGACTGATGCAGCTCCCCCCCCCCCCGGCCCCATTACTACTCTCACCACCATTTTGATGAGTGAAACCCGGATATTTGCAAGTAATCACCCCCTCCCCCCACCCCACCCCCGTGCGGCACTTAATGTCAATTGTCTACGAATCACAACATACAACAGAAGTCGGGTTGTTTTTGGAGGCGTTCACCCCCGAGTGACATTGAGTTACTGACAGGCCACTGACATCCCGCAAGGTCTGCCACATCTGACATGTTGGGGGTTAAGGAGAGAAAGACGATTTATTATTTCATATTTCTCACTTGAATCTACTTTCCCCAGAAATGCTTCTGTATTTCAATTTTATTGTTAAAAATCTCTGCACTGTGATTAGTAATGGCAATTGTTTTATATAGCTGTGAGCTGATTACTACGTTCTGGAACCAGCTCCCCTTCTATATCCGTCATTGTGAAACCTCGTCCACTTTTAAAAAGTCCCTTAAAACCCATCTGTTCAGGTCCGCCCATGACCTGTGATGCACCTTCCTTGCCCTGCCTCATTTTCTGTCTCGGGTTAATCCTGTAGTATAGGCCAAAACGTGCCAAAGTGTCCTCGTTTTATAGCCATTTTAATTGTTTCTATAGTATAGTAGTTACTATCCTAATGTCTCATTTTTATTTTAGTTAGTTTACATGTTTTTAATAATTGTGAAGCGCTTAGAGCTTTAAGGTAAGCGCTATATAAAAATTCCTAAATAAATAAATAAAGTCTGTCATTCATCTTCCTATAGAACGGGGGTCAGGTCACATTTTGCGCGTTCAAAGTGACCTCAAACTGACACGTAGATTAATAAACGCACGTAGGGCAATACAAGCTTTAAACTTGGCACATAGAATTTTTTTAATATATAAATTTGATTGCAACCAAGTTCTTTCAGTAACAAAATGTGTACCAAAATAGTATAGACAAGTGAAATTAATTTATATGAAACTGAAATTAAAACGGGGCACGCCAGGACACGGACCTTTCAAACACGGACCTATGTTGAGATGACCTATTTGTACAGATTTAGCACATTTTCTGTTTCATTAATTTTTAACCGCCAGAAAAATTTCTTATAGACCTGCTAGAAATCGCTTTAAAAAAAAAAAACCTGTCCACAAGAGACAAGGATCACACACGTGGACCCGTTAAGAGATCGCCGCCAACTTAACCCCCATTTAGATGTGATTACCAAGGTCTGGTACTCCAGAGTATTTCAATAAACTTGCTTGTATCGTGTCTAGATTGCTGAGAGGTACCCTAACTCCAAGGTGACGATCAAGATTGCATCCGCTGCCCCGCCAGAGATCAAATTTACCAGCAACGGCATCGATCTAGTGCTGCTGGCGTCGGTGATTTTTTCTGCTGGAAGTTCCAATGCTTTTCTCGACGGAACAGTCGTAAGTTGAGATGCAATTGGTTTGATTATTTATTTTTATTCTTCCTTCTGCGTTAATTTTTTTTTTTTTAAAGAAGAGTTTTTTTTAATTTTAAACAAAATAGGATAAGATGAAGTGTTTGATTGTTGTTGTTTTTTTAAAATTACATTGTGCATATTTAGTTTCAGCATATAATTAAATTCAATATTCCTAACCAAAAAAAAAACAAAACACCAATTTCACAACTAGACATCTAAAGCTGGGGTGGAAACCCCCTAATGGCTTTGGCGGGCAAGGGCAAGTTTGATAGCGAGCAAACTTTTTGCTGGCCACTTTGATAGCGAGCAAACTTTTTGCTGGCCACTTTGATAGCGAGCAAACTTTTTGCTGGCCACTTTGATAGCGAGCAAACTTTTTGCGGGCCACTTTAATAGCGACTGTTTGCGCACCTCATGCCGTAACTTCTTGTATGAAAAATAAAAAACCCTTTTGAACAAATTTTTCGTACTCTTGTAATTGATCAAAAGGTGACTATTTCCAAGTGTGAAAAACATTCCGTTTTTCCGTGAACGACACAACTCTATCCAGTTTTAATTATGCAAACTATAATTTTGGCCATTAATTGACCTAATGACAGTGTCCTTTGTGCGGGCCGCATGTGTGCTTGCAAAAGATCGTGCCCGCGGGCCGCATGTGTTCTTCCAAAGGACCGTGCCCGCGGGCCGCATGTGTGCTTGCAAAGGACCGTGCCCGAGGGCCGCACGTGTGCTTGCAAAAATACCATACATCTGAACTTGATCAGGAACATTATTGACTTAATAGTGATCATATAGATTTTTTTTAACCTCTGTTAAATTCTGGGAGGGGGGTTAAGAATTTTTGTATGCTGACTTTTTCATACGGGATTTGGCTATGTTCATGCCATGGTAGCTGATTATTAATGGTGACATATTCGTCTCTCTCTCTCCCTCTCTCTCTACTTGCTTGCTCTAAACCAACGGTTCTCAACCTGTGGGTTGCTACCCTTTTCCCCAGGGGTCGCAGAAAAAAACATTTGATCTACGGTTATGAAGAAGGAAAGAAAATAATTTTTTGTGGCTGGCGGGTCGCCACAACACGAGGAGCTACATTAAAGTGTCGGGGCATTATGAAGATTGAGAACCACGGCTCTAAACTGTGACTTTTTTTTAATTGTGAGATGAGCATTTTTGTGAGTACCCCACCGGAAATCGACAATCATTCCTTTCGCTTTTGAGACATATTCAACTGAAGAAACTTTTCATCCCAGCAACCGACCAAGCTTTCAACTTAGTTACATAATCCCCGTAATATCCAATTATCCAGTTCATACAGTTAAGCGAACCCTACTATACGCGAATTCGGCTATAACTCGGTCGTGAAAAGACTCCCATTTTTTTTTCTCTAGAAGTACAAGGGAAAATAAATATTTATATACTACAAATAGTGTATGCCCCTCCAATGCTAAGATCACCAAGGCACTCTTCCACCTGTGCCTGGACTTGAGCTGTATTTTGTTTAAAGTGAAGGAGGGTTGCTGAAAATGAATATGTCTAAAATAATCAAAATCATTTTCATGCATTCGAATAAATAAAATAATCTTATCTTATCTTATCTTATGATTGGTTGGGGCGTTACGATTAGATTGTTATAGATCTATTTATAAAATTCCATATTTAAAAATATAAATACATTTGGCATAATACATTATAATCAATATTTTAAAAAAAAAAATTATTTCAGAGCTTCACCTTGTCTGGTTCTGCTTCAGTGAGGAACGAACTAATCTTTGGCAGTATAAGCCACTCAAGGTGAGATATGTCTTTTCTTTTTCTTTTTTTTTTATTAATTTAAATCAAATTTTTTAAAAATTTTTTCCAATGTAATATCAAGCAATTAAAAAAAAACAAAAAAACTTGATTTCATTAAACTTTCAGCATTCAGATAAGCAACGTGAACTCCACCATCGGAACTGTTGATGTAAGTCCTTTTACTTTTCTTATATTTATATAACACATTTAATCCGTGCGTGATTATGATTAATAAACAATTTTTGTTTAAGCTCTTAAACACAAATTTTCATCGAATTTGTCATATACAAAAACACTGCAAAGGTTTTTATTGGGAGAAGACACAGACCATTATTATCATCTCTCATTTTTTTTTAATTGCTGACACTGACCATCACTATCCACCGCTAGTTTTTATTTCTGTCACAGATTTTGTCATGTCGTAATAACTTTTTTCATGTTATAATATGTATACTGTGTTTGGTAACATAAGAGGTGAGCCTGCGATAGTTTTGAGTGAAGGGAAACTAACATGGCAGGAAAGAAGAAAACCTGAGTGATAGCAAGGGAAAACACAAAGATGTGTCAGCAAAGAGCTTTCTTCTGATCGGACAAAACAGAATGAAACATTTTGACAAATTTGAAAACAAAAACTTATCTTAGAACTTAATCTTAGAGCCTATCTTTGAACTTACTTTAGAACTAACCTTATAACTTATCTTAGAACTTACCTTAGAACTTAACTTAGACCTTATCTTAGAACTTATCTTAGCCCTTATCTTATCCTATCCGAAAATGATAGTCAACCTGGATCTGGCATGGAAATAGTTATAGAAAGATAATGCCATTAAAGTGTTCAGATTGTAGCTCTTTTTTTGTTGTTGTTTTGTATTCACAGCAAACACAGATAAACCGTATCCTGGCACTTGGCATTCAATCAGTGATACTGCCCCAGATCAACAGTTTGTATATGTTGTGTTGTCCCCGGCCAACCTTTTGAATTATTATTTAATGACCATAATGCAGTTGAGCCATAGTATGAACGTGGCGTCAAAATGCGACAGTTCGTGAAAAATGTTGAAGACTTTAGTTTCAAGTTAAAGCAGTTAAGCATATCTTTATCGTTAGTTAGGGGCAGGCGACTTGTGTGTGGGACAGGATTTTCGCCGCAGTTACGAATTGTCTGCCGCCATTTCGCTATCAAAGATAATGCAATGAAACAAATATGATAGTCATAATTTTGTGAATGCGTTTTTATTATTTTTTTTCCGGGGTTGGGGCATATGCCGTTAACAACTGCTTCTATTCATCCCGGTCCAATGCTTCGTTCCCCGTTGATTCCAGGTGTATCCCACACTTTGTGTGTCTGCCTCTATCTTCCGTCTCCATGTATCCCACACTTTGTATGTCTGCCTCTATCTTCCGTCTCCATGTATCCCACACTTTGTGTGTCTGCCTCTATCTTCCGTCTCCATGTATCCCACACTTTGTGTCTCTGCCTCTAACTGGCGTCTCCATGTATTCTGTGGCCTTCATCTCTTCTCTTTCCATGTGTTATCCATGTTAGGGATTTTCTGGTAATTTTTTTTTTTTGTATTGGGGTATACGGAGGGCATGCCCTAGCTACCTCCATCTTTTTCCTTCTGTCTTAAGTAAAAGGCTTTTGGCGTGTCCTCTGCAATAAGCCTTTGTTTTAAAGATGTTTTGCCATTTTATGTTCAGGGTCTTTATCAGCGAGTGCTCGTGAAGGTCTGCACTTCCTGCGTGATCCTCGCTGTAGTGCTCCAATGTTTCAGAGCAACAGAGTAGGGACTGATCTGACATTGGTGTTGAAAATCCTAACTTTTGCTTGCAGAATAAACGTGTTTGATTCCAAATGTTTCTTTAGCAGCGCAAATGTTAAACCATCACTGGCCAGAAATAGGCTCCTAATTTCCAATTGATATACTTTGAATTTTATGTTGATTAAATTATATTTTTAATAGTCTATGATTATTTTGGCCGGTTTTTTTTCCTAAAAATAATATATGTCAGCGTGCAAAAGAATTCTTTCATATGTTGTTTCCAACTATAGTCCCGGTCCTTGGAGGTGTCTGGTGACACTGAACTGGCCCCGACAACGTCGGGGGGGGGGCACTAAATCGGTCCATGTTTAAAACATTTGAGGACCTCTCTGATACTGACATATTTACCTCCAGTGGTCCACAAGCCACGCAATCATTTTTCTATCTCCCCCAGGTTTCGCACAAGGAGGTATCCCACTACCAACGTTCGACGATATCAAACTTCCGGATTCACAAATTACTTTCCAGGATGTAAGTCGTCTTTTGTACCATAAGCTGCACATTAACGAGCCGCCCGTAGGTGGTTTTATAATAGCCAGAGAGTTGACCACGAGAAAAAATATCAGTCCATCAGTTTGTAACAGCGATGAATTTATTCCCAGAAGAAATTTAACAAAAGGGTTTATTAATGCCAGACGACATATCGTCCAGGGTCGTATCTATGACTGGTTACATTTTGTCTATTTTATGGGCTAGCACAAGAGATAAATAAACAAATATATTTGATCCATTATAAAACGAAGTCCGCTGAGAATAGTCACATTTAAAAAAAAAAAAAGGAGTAATTTGATTATTAAATGTGTGTCTGGTCTAAATAATCTCATTATTGATTATTACATTATGTATAATAATTCCATTTCTGTTGATGGCATCATTTCTGTTGCTGTGCACAATGAGAGGCAATCTTAGCTATTCAAGAAAAACATTTCGTCTCACTACTCAAACCATTACGATGTGATAATAATGATTAAAGTTTTTACGCGAATAAAATTTTCTTAATACATGCGAGAGGACAATCTCACTGCTTCATGTAGAGAACAATCTCATTGCTTCATGTAGAGATCAATCTCGCTGCTTCATGTAGAGAACATTCTCACTGCTCCATGTAGAGAACAATCTCACTGCTTCATGTAGAGATCAATCTCGCTGTTTCATGTAGAGAACAATCTCGCTGCTTCATGCAGAGAACAATCTCACTGCTTCATGTAGAGAACAATCTCACTGCTTCATGTAGAGAACAATCTCACTGCTTCATGTAGAGAACAATCTCACTGCTTCATGTAGAGAACAATCTCACTGCTTCAGGTAGAGAACAATCTCACTGCTTCATGTAGAGAACAATATCACTGCTTCATGTAGAGAACAATCTCACTGCTTCATGTAGAGAACAATCTCACTGCTTCATGTAGAGAACAATCTCACTGCTTCATGTAGAGAACAATCTCACTGCTTCATGTAGAGAACAATCTCACTGCTTCATGTAGAGAACAATCTCACTGCTTCATGTAGAGAACAATCTCACTGCTTCATGTAGAGAACAATCTCACTGCTTCATGTAGAGAACAATCTCACTGCTTCATGTAGAGAACAATCTTACTGCTTCATGTAGAGAACAATCTCACTGCTTCATGTAGAGAACAATCTTACTGCTTCATGTAGAGAACAATCTCACTGCTTCATGTAGAGAACAATCTCACTGCTTCATGTAGAGAACAATCTTACTGCTTCATGTAGAGAACAATCTCACTGCTTCATGTAGAGAACAAAACAATCTCACTGCTTCATGTAGAGAACAATCTCACTGCTTCATGTAGAGAACAATCTCACTGCTTCATGTAGAGAACAATCTCACTGCTTCATGTAGAGAACAATCTCACTGCTTCATGTAGAGAACAATCTCACTGCTTCACGTAGAGAACAATCTCACTGCTTCATGTAGAGAACAATCTCACTGCTTCATGTAGAGAACAATCTCACGGCTTCATGTAGAGAACAATCTCACTGCTTCATGTAGAGAACAATCTTACTGCTTCATGTAGAGAACAATCTCACTGCTTCATGTAGAGAACAATCTCACTGCTTCATGTAGAGAACAATCTCACTGCTTCATGTAGAGAACAATCTCACTGCTTCATGTAGAGAACAATCTCACTGCTTCATGTAGAGAACAATCTCACTGCTTCATGTAGAGAACAATCTCACTGCTTCATGTAGAGAACAATCTCTCTGCTTCATGTAGAGAACTATCTCACTGCTTCATGTAGAGAACAATCTCACTGCTTCATGTAGAGAACTATCTCACTGCTTCATGTAGAGAACAATCTCACTGCTTCATGTAGAGAACAATCTCACTGCTTCATGTAGAGAACAATCTCACTGCTTCATGTAGAGAACAATCTCACTGCTTCATGTAGAGAACAATCTCACTGCTTCACGTAAAGGACAGTCCTTCTGCTTCGTGTAGTGAAAAATCTATCTGCATCAAGTAGCTTATTTGGCCATGCCTGGAAAAAAACAACTCCAGATCACCCGTTAGCGACCATTCCAGCCTTCAGATCGATTTAGTAAAGAATTGATACAGCATTAGGCTTTTGACGTGAACACAATTTAAAAAAAAAAAAATTAAATCTCCATTTTGATTAAGGGTTGGCTGTGAGGTAGTTCGAAAAGCTTTTGGTACCTGATTCCAGCGCTGGCGACAAGTTATAACGAAAGTCGAAAGATTTACCCTTTGCTGGGTCGGTAGTGTAGCGATAAGATTTGTTGACAGTGTGGTCCAAGGGGCAGGCTTACTTAAGAGATCTTACATGTTCAAAAGGAGATTGGAGTTCGATTTTTTTATATGGCTGGGGGGGGGGGGGGTTTGCCCTCATTTTATCGTTTTTGCTTTTTTTTTCTTTTCATTTGAAAAAAAATTACTTTCTCCAATTTTTAAACACATTTAATTGTTGTTTTTTTTAAAACTTGACAGGGCTATCTGGTGATCTCATCCAACGTACAGTACAAGGGGGTACAGTAGGTCTGACCAGGTGATCACATCATGGTTCCTGGCCGAAAAATCTTGTTAATTTAAGAAAATAATTAGTTAAAATCTTTAAGCTGTTAATCTTTGATTCGTTACCAGGCGTTTGAGATTTTTTTTTAAAAAAGCCGTGAAACCTTTCACGAATGTTTGACAAATGATCAATCAACAAATATTTTTTGTCATATATAACTATAATTTTTAAGATCTTTTTTTTTTAAAATGCAAATATCCAGAGGCTTACGGATCTTATAGCTTGATCACTACGGATCCTTGACGTAGTTGTTACAAAAAATTACAATAAATTTACCCTAATTTGATATTCATTCTTTATGTGTCAGTATTTTTTATTTATTTAAAAAAAAATTTTTTTTTATAAGTGCTGTCTGAGTTGTGACTTCCATCCAGGAACAAAAAAAAATCTGGCTCTAAAATAAATAGTTATAATTATGGACATCATTAAGAACGGCTGTTTGGAAAGTTCAGTTAGTTGAACAGATCAAACTGTAAAATTAATGGAAACCAGTAAGTGGGGGTTGGGGGGAGAGAAAAACATTTCATTGAAATAATGAAGTTTTAAAATATTTCTCTTTAAAATTTTCATTTGTTGAGTTAGTAATTCTGTCCCGGGCTGAACTTGAACAATTATGTCACGTGTCGAATGCACGTGTGCAGTATTTCGAGAAGTTATTTTTAGGTAGATGTGAATCATGTGATTTGATGCAAGAAAAAAAAAAACGTATGTGACCTATTCACAAAGTAGAAACCACTTGAAGAAATCCCTGTGAAGGGGGTGTCTGACGCCACCCTGGGCTGGGAAAAGGGGATGGGAAAAGGGGGGGGGTGTTTGTTTAGGAAGGTTAAACTATGTCCAGCACATAGTTCAAGAGCGTTCGATTGCCGGAGCTTTGAGAGCAGCATTATGAGGGTTGAGAGCCACTGTTCTAGTCCAACCGTTGCATCACTCTCACTGTTACACATAAGTAACAGCTGGTTCAGCATCGTTGCTGTATATGATTGTTTCTATTTCGTAACGAGTGTGAGAATAACAATAAATATAAGAATGAGCTATGCTTTAAATACGTTCGGATTCTAAAAAAAAAAAGATCATACTTATTTTCTATTATTTTACGGAAATCGAATAAATTTAAATGTGCAACAAATATTATGAATCCCCTTTCTTTTAGTAAAAGTTTAAGTTTATTATTATAAATTACAAATACATTTAAAGTTACAACTAAGGAACTATCTTAAGCATTTTATTTATGAAAAGAAATATATTATACAAAATTATTTTCAAACAATTAAACCGTAATCATACTTATTGGGAAAACACAAACATCAGATGTTTTAGTGCGTTTTTTAGTGCGTTGTTAATATTGCGAAATAAAATTAAAATTAATTTGTCTAAATAAACACGCAAATGACGTCATAGCGTGAATCGCCTATTTTAGTCAAAACTCTTAAGTTTCTTTGATTTAAGTACCGCGCTTTACAAAACTGATCAAGTATATAACATTTCTTTAAAGTAAAATAAATAAAATTAATAAATGTAATTGATTGTTCTTTAAATTATTAATAAAACACAAAAACAATTTTAGCTTTGTATTTTTAACATTTAATAAATTTTACCTTTTTTTTTTAAATCGAAAAATATACTTTTATTAAATTTATAACGTAATTAAAACATTAACCTTTCAATATACTTCTAATAAGAACTCAATCTTAAGTCAATCAGTGCAGCGAAACTCCACAGCCAAATAGCATTCACTACTCCAATTATAACTCATCCACATTAGAACAAACCGTATAAAGTGCAAAATATCTTAATTTGTGTATAGAAGGGACTACAATCAAGTGGAAGATTTTATTAATTGTATTTAAATCTGTTGGGGAGGGGTCATTTTGCCCATGGATAGATTCTTTTTAAGACAAATAAAAACACAGAGTAGCGGGGGGAAAACGGCTGAAAGACCTCAAAATTAAAAATAGACTGAAAACAGAGAACACATTTTAGCAGCGAATCAAAACACAACATAGATACTCACTATTTCCTCACTTCCACTACGTAATGTGTGGCAATTACATTTGTGTCAAGTACTCTCGTACCAAGTGTTAAGTAACAGTGTCAAGTGTCAGCTGAGTGGTATATTCTGTACGACTAGAAATACTTGGTAGGGATGCTATCATGTGACTTGTAATATTTATCAAGCAACGCTCGTAGCAGAATTTATTTAGTCAAGGATCTGAGTAGTAGGAATATTATTGTATGAGTAGCAGTGCTGATATTGTATAATAAGTGGTGATAATATTGTATGATAAGTGGTGATAATATTGTATGATAAGTGGTGATAATATTATGATACGTGGTCATAATATTGTATGATAAGTGGTGATCATATTGTATGATAAGTGGTGATAATATTGTATGAGTATCAGCGATTACATTTTATCAATAGTCGTGATACTATTGTATGAGTAGTAATATAATATTGTATGCTCTTGATTACGACAGGTAAGTCTTTGAAAGTATCCACCATCTCAAAGGAGTATGTTGCTTATTTTGATGTTTTCACCTGTATGCGTGTTTCGTGACATGGCCAAATATTTTGTCTTTTGATTCATTTAACGCAAGACCAGCTTCAACCGAGGCACCTTCAAGTTCCTTGAATGCTTTGACTGTAAAACTTCTATTTCTTCCCAGTAAGGCTGTATCGTACGCGTGTGACATGTCCGGCGTGTCTGGCTACATGACGTTTCTGATGTTCTGGGTCCTGTAAAAATGCTTCTCTGGACGCTGTTTGGGATAGTTCCTCTGGTGCTCACAATGTACGTCCATCATAACTTGTTTTCTAACGGGATGTTGAGCAGCATACGTGAAAGCGGGTCTCCTTGTCTGAGGCCCCGATTCATCCTCGAGTGCTCTCCCTCTACTTTCATTCTACTTTTGGGTGTTAGCCAAATCTCTGAAAGATTAGAATACCCAGATCGTGTTGTTTATATAGTTGAGCTGTATAAATTACAGGGATAGAACTTAGCTGGACACAAAAGCGTACCTTCAACTAAACTGATCTTAGTTTACGATGGTTAAGGGCTGATCTTGGTTACCGTTATGTCCAGGGGCGCAGTTGGGGTGAGTGCCACCCTGTGTGAGCTAAGACTTGTATCAACCCCCCACCCCCCTTTTCAACGACAAACTCTGTAGCAGGCCTAAAATTTCGCCATTCTATAAAATAAAAAACACCCCCATCTTCCCACCCTTTCCAGTGCCACTGGCACTGCCCACCCGAACATTCAAAATGCCCCCTCCCCCCTCCCCCTCCCCCCCCCCCTTCCCACCCCCCTCCCCGGAACAAATTTTCTGAAAGACTGTCTGCATTTTCAGATACTATCCACTTCAAGTAAAATAGTTCAATTGGTCGAGTCAACTCTTGTGCTCTCAGCATTCGAGGTCAACGATGAGGTCGTCTGTTCCACTGCTGCTACTGGTTGTCCACCACATACTCGCTGTAAACCCGGGGGTCAAGATAAGATTCACGCCAAATGGTATCAAATACGGTCAGTCATTCTAAATCTTACCACATATTTTGAAGCAAGAATTTTTTATTTTTTTTTATTATTATGAAGATAAGATGAGATAAGTTGAGATATAATAATGACGAGATAAGATAAGATGAGATAAAAATGAGACAAGGGGATATCTTATGAGTTGACATTACTTGGTTGATCCCGCCAATAAAGATGCCCTAGACGCATGCCCTGGCAAAAGCGACAGACGAAGAAGAAATGTGTTTTAAATAGGCACCACTGTAAAACATCATTAACACCATTTTAAATGGAACCACAATAACCGCTTGAACACGGTGCCCCATCGGATGAACCGGACATGTGTGTTGTGTACCTCCTTTAAAAAAAAACAAAAAAATCCAGTCCTCCTGCATCGTTAAACTTTACTATTTTTGAATTGACTTTTTAAGGGATTATTCCATTTTTCCAACAGCGCAGAGTCTACTCATAGATCTTTCCTTTAAAAAAACACCCCATTAATATCAATTAATTAGCTTCTGTCTCCATTATTTATTATTATTATTATTATTATTATGATTTCCTATTGCAGCCAACAAAATATTTAAAAAAGAGGTTTCTGACTTGCTCGGTCAACTCAGCCTACCAGATCTGGAATGCAACATTGAGGGCACATCTTTCACTCTATCACAGTCAGTCTAATTTGTTTTTTTTTTTTTTTTTTTTTTTTTTTTTTTTTTTTTTTTTTTTTTTTTTTTTTTTTTGCATTTAATTATTGATACTTATTAATATATATAACAAGAAATTCTGTATTACGAGATTACATAACGGAAACGATGTGAGCATGGTCGATGTGTTTTATCTTGACTGGCCTTACTTATCTGTTCCGCGTTCAGCCCTGGTCAACGGTGAACAATCACAGTAATAGTCGTCCAATAACAACGTGTACAAATATTACAGCAACAAAAAAAGTAATTAAAAAAATTAAAATCTATTCAAAGAAGAAGAGAGTTAATGTATCATTATGATAGTCGACATCGGGATTTCTTTATATCTCTTATACATATTTTGCTTGTGGTGTGACTGCTTCCAATCTCCGGATAGCGCGCAAAATATAATTCCAGATAACTACCCTTAATGATTTATTATTTTTTTTAAATAACACATTTGCGCTCGGTGCGTAACATTTTCTTTTCTTTTCGAAAACTGAAATCGTCTCAATTTAAGTATGGTGTAATAAATTTTCGTTTTAAAAGTGGTTGGGAATCAGAATTTTAATATAGTTCTTGGGCGTGAAATAAAAAAGTGTGCAGTGACGTATCATTGGGGGGGGGGTGTTTGGTGGGGGGGGAGGGGTGTAGCAAATATTTGGGATTATTAAGTACGCGTCTCTTGAGTTCATGCTTTTCCAAGTGACTTTAGTAGATGGGAAGTTTACGCATTGCTGGTGCCCAATGTTTGACGGGCTATAATAACTAGTTTACATTTATTTTCTGACGCGTTTATAAAAAACATGTTGTCATCTTATTTCTGCACAGCATCCGTGCCACCCATGTTACACCACTGAATAGTAAGCTGAAGCTTGACCCCGGGCTAAATGGCCTAACTGTGTCTGTGAGAAATTTTGGCATGTCCCTCTCCATGGACTGGCAGGCCAGTAGCAGTATCATGTTGTAAGTTATCTGTTTCTTTCCATTAGACTTTTTAAATTGAAAACAAAAAGATGGCTATGGTGTACAAAGCAGTTAACGTGCGTCTCCTAGCAACGGTTATGTTACATTGTGTCGAACTATATATCTGAAATTAACACCGCAACATTACTAACCCACCCGGTAAGTAGATTACCATGTGTTTTTA